GCGAGGTTTCTGGTTCCTCCCGATTGTTTCACATCGGTCTGGCTAACCAAGGTACATGTGCGGTGGTCAGCGTCTGTTAATGTTGGTTCGGATTCACGTTTGTTGGGTCTTTGCAGTGCGGAAGCATCGGGTGTATGTGATGTGAACTGTTACTCCTGGCTTAATGAAACATCTAGACCTCACCGTATGTCAAGTTTCAAGACCGACCGGTCCCAAACGACATTCGGATTCCTTTTACCCAAGGTCACTCACACCGATTCCGGGATCTACGGGTGCAACGTGACAAACTGTGCAACTTGTGTTCCAACGTTCGGTTTCGTACCCCGTAGGTTCTACGTCATACCTGACCATTCCACTTTGGAGATGATACTGAACCCCAAGTTGTTGGCGGGGGAACAGATATTGGAAGACAGTTATCTCAGATGCAGCCACAAGGACGAACCATGCCTACTCACAGAAAAGCAAACGTATGTTTATTGTGCGTATCCAATAATGGACACGACTTATCCCAAGCCGATATTTCGTTTCTCCGTTCTTATGTGGAACATCGAAAAGAATGCTACTATGAGACAGAGTGCACAGGAATTGACACCACAGCGAATCAGAGCTCCATTCGGCGTTACGGTAAGAAAGATCTATTTGCTAACTGCACCTCCTTTGTTTGAATTGACCGGTCCGTTAGAAGTTAGATGTCATTTAATCTTTCCACCAGCTCCAACCATTCCTGAGGATGTGCTTGAGACATTTCCGGAACGTGAGATTTCCAAATCCCGAACGATCAGGGTAGAAGCGCGATTTAAGCCGTTCATTTTCAAACAAAGCATGGTATCCAGCTCACATGAGCTGCAAAATATACTGCGTGAGCAGCCGCTAAACTCAGTAACTGACGGAAGATCTTTTCAGGCTAGTGCTCCAAAATCACGTATTTTGGAAGGCAATTATCGGTTCAATTTTATAGCAAGGCTTGGTTCTCCGAAAGGCCTGTCGAAGATGTACTTGTACTCGTACAGAAGTGGAATGGTGAGGAGAGATGACTGTCGACAAGACGGATTGTACGAGGTCCCACGAATGAAGGCCCCTGCGGCCATCATGGAGACCAACGAGTATCAAGAAGCACATGGATACTTTATCGCCAGATCGAAGATTGTTTGCTCATTCTTTCCCAAACACGTTGCATTGATGTTAGTTGTGTTTAACACGTATGATTATCGCAACAGCTTACCGATGGTGGAACACGCTTTCCAAAACTCATTAGTTGGCTCATTGGAGCAATGGATGAACGGATCTACGGACATGAATGAACGCAGTATAGGAGGCCCTCCAGCGTCACACTTTGCCTACCAGCTTATGCGTATCCGTGTTGGTTGGAGGGCGACCATTCAGGAAGGTGCTCCTATCGTCATGCTTGGTGCAGCATCAGTACGAAATCACGAGCTCGTGTGCTATTATGGGGAACAAGCGAGAGACATTGGAACAAAGCTCACTAGAGCCTCTAGTGGGTTCACCATTGTTAAGAAAGATGGAGCAACCACGTTCGAATTGGTCAAGCGTAAAGCGAGGCCTGAAGACTCAGGACATTATACCTGTAAGCTATCAAGACTGGCTGTTCTCCAGCGTCATCTAGTTGTTCTCCCTCGTGCTCTCCGTATCGGCATGTTCATTGACCGCGCTCTTCCTCAGGTGAACAGAACTCTTCGGGATAATTGGAAACAAATCTCCAACACAGTCCCATTCGTGTACACAGATCAAGAACTCTTCGTTCATTGCTCCCATTCGCTGACCGATCACTTTACCCAACATCCTGAAATTCGGTTTTATTCAGTTGTTCTACACGGAGATGACCAAAGTCCCAGTGAGATGGCAAGTAGGTTCGTTAAAAGACAAGCGATTCCTCATGAAGAACGTTCTTGGCAAACGGAGTCTTTCGCAATCAAAGTTACCAATTCCAGCGGCAGACTGAAAGCAACGTGTCAGTTTAGACAACCAGACCGAGAAATGGCTGATGACATCAACGTAGAGACAGTTCGGCTACGTTACAATTTGAGCAGGTTCATCAAACTTCGTCCAAAGCGCGTACCAATGATTGTGCAACATACGATTCTCACAAGTGATCTTGAAACAACACAGTTATTAAGATCTGCAAGTTCCAAAGCACCATCAGCCTCCGTGTTCAGAACCACGGTCAGTAAGAGCCCCATGAAGGAAGGGTCACTATCCATAGAGTACATGGTTGATATGGGAGACCCACTGGGAACCACCGGTGTCATTGCATTTTATGCATACTCAGAGGGATTGGTGCGAGATGTGTGCTCAAAGATGGCTGCATCCCCGATAAAAGAAAATGCTTCGAATAGCAGTGATACGCGGACTCGACCAGCACGATTCACCTGTATCGTGCAGCCCAGTCACATCGGATTGATGCTCTACGCAATACATACGTTGGATGTATTTCAAACAATAACCGAAGTTGAGGACCGTGTGGTTGCCACTGCGCTCCGCATTGTGAATGGATGGTACATGTCTGACGCTAGCACGGAAAGCAGACAAATCGAGATTCCAGCTCTTGCTGATGGTGTTTACTGGTTGCTTCGATTGCGCGTCGGATGGAGAGCATCAGTTCCAATAGGAGAACGTGTAGAAATGCTTGGCCGACTGGGTGCAACAGCGCGAAACCAAATCACTTGCTACTATGGTCACAAGGAGGCCGACCACTCCCTTCGTTCAGACAAACGATTCGAACTAACGCGATTTCCTCAAAACGGCACCTTTTTATTGAGCAAAAATAAAGTACAGTATGAAGACTCCGGAATGTTTAGGTGTGTGATAGACGATTGTGCGAATTGCCCTAAGTATGCAGGCATGGTAGAACGTCAACTTCTTGTCCTACCCGATCCATCGATTGTTCAGCTCGATCTGACCCAAACTGAGAATCCACTCGATGTTCCTTCAACTTGCGCGCGAGGTGCCAGTCCGATAGTTCCTCCAGGCAAGCCGTTCGGGCTTAACTGTACATTCCTTGTGTCAAAGGGTTCTGGACGAATATTGATCAGTGAAGTGCGTCATGGATTGGCTGAGCAAAACAACCATGAGTCTGTGGTGCTTGCTGGCACAGAACTGATGACGAGTGTGCTAAATTTGACGGATCACTTCGTGAAGTATCAACTGGCAAACGTCACACTACCTCTATCGGTGGAAACGGCAGCGTACTGGGCTGTCACTTGCGAGATCCATATGGCAGCTACAGAGGTTCCGAACGACCTCACTCCCGAAGTTCCCTCGCAAGTGATTTCGAAACAAAAACGAATAGAAGTGGGAACTTTGCGTCATCCGTCAATCATTACGTCTCTAATCAATACCAGTCAGCCGCAACTCACGCAACTGTTACAAGATGCTCCTGTGTTCGGCTCCGGTCAGGCACACGTTCCACAGACCCACAACTGGCGGATAGAGGAAGGACCAACTGATGTAAGCTTTGACAGCGACCTTGGATTTCCCGTCGGTTGGACTGTTGTGTGGTTAGTGTTTGAGGAAAATACCACATTGTATGTGGATCCCTGCTCAATCTCGAGGTTTGCAAACACCCACACACCATTGACGCATCGCACGCAAACACGTTGCCTTCTTCGTCCCGAACACCGTGCTCTGATGCTTGCCACAGTCAACATACCAGGAACAAATGTTACAAAGGAAATTTCTGAAAGCCAACTGAAACATTGGCTACTGAGAAACGTGTCGAAGTGGAATCGATCGAATAAATCGGCGGCTGGCAGTGCAAACTACTCCGTTTGTTTCTATGCAGATGTGCGGCTGGTTTCACTTCGGGTCGGATGGAAGGCGTTCGTTGACGTAGCTTCCCCAGTGCTGATGTATGGGCGCCTCGGTGGCCGTCAAGTCGAAGAGATCCAGTGTTACCATGGGAAGACTGTACTTGACCTCAGTTCACCTGCTGGCTTCCAGTTGAACGTGATCACCGAAGAAGACTACTTCACACTGAGTAAGACATCTACCAGCTACGCTGACACCGGTGTGTATAGTTGTCGATCTGAGAACGCATCCGTCACACTGTTGACTGTCGGGATGGGTGAGCGTCGGCTTATCGTGTTGCCTAACCAGTCCGCAGTTCAGTGTATCATGTCACTAGACCCAGAGGGGAAAGAGGATTTGAACGAAAGTAAACAGACAATTGATGGTATGGCTTTTCTCAAAACCGGTCAGGTGGGCTTTATTCACTGCGCTTTTGATGAGGTGCTGGAAAAAGCTCATCGGCCCTCACATCATGTCAGCTATCGGATGAATAACACGGAAAGCGGAGTGTTGATCGATTTGGCACAACCTGAATCGGTTTCCATTGCTATCGACCCGGCAAACACAAATTTCACCGTTCGGCGATATAAAGTGGTCGGCATCAGTGCAAAGGAATATACGGGACTACTGATTACCACATGTACCAGCGTGTTCTCAAACCTGACTGCTGAATTGGACATTTACTCACCCGATAGGTCAGTGGAGATCAACTGTAGCCGGACATTCACCATCCAGGAGCCGGCCAACGGCGAGTTGGAAATCAAAACAATTGCACAAAACTATGCTCATCAGCCTGTTCCCTTAGGTACTGAATTCATCTGTGCTGGTGGTTACGGTCTACCGCAGCTGACATATGAGTGGAAACAGCTGACACCTACTCTATACGGCCAGATTGGCGAAAACGAAGAGGATTATCCGAGCCTACTTCCTGGAGAACGAGGCGGATGGGGTGGGCCACAGAGCATTTTTCTTGATGCACCGGAAGGACCGCCAACAGTGACACGAGATGTGCTACGTGTCCCTGATCACCCGTCCTACAGAGGAATGAGTTACGCCTTCATTTGTTTCGGGAGCAACGAAGTTGACGGGATTCGATACACACTGAATAAGACAATCCACTTCACCGTTATGATTTGTCCGGCAAGAGGACGGGCTATGGATCTGGCAGTACTGGTAAGCAGTAGATTGCTCGGCATGTGCAAAATCGCATCTAATCCCGACAGTCGCGTGCAATTTTACGGCTACTTCTTCCAAGCCCTTGTTCGACAGGTGTTTCTTGGGCTTCCGTACGGAAAGACCCGTTTTAGTCTATTGCATGACGAAATATTCGAGAACATCACAGGTCCTTATCTCGACTCAGTTGCTTTTGATCATGGTCTGACACGCAGAGAACTTGTGCGTCGAATTTATTCGAGATCGGTGAGACCGACAACAATTCCCAGTGGATGTGGCTCCCCAAGGATACATCTTAGTAGAGTAATCCAAGCGCTCCACAGTTTGCGTCCGATAGGCTCGAATGCGAAAC